GTTTATGTTGGTTACATGTTGAAATGGTAATATTTTGGAAATACTGACCTAAATATAACATTGATAAAATTAATTTTACCTATACCTGTTTACTTTTAAGTGTTTCTATAATGACATTTAGATATTTACATATGTGGCTTGTATTATATTTCTTTTACATAGGGCTGCTCTGGACAGCGTGTAAACTTTCTTTCACATTACTATTAGGTTTTAAAATCAAAAGCATTGCTACCTAAGTATCACAATAATGCTTTGAGGCTATATGAATTATGCTATTATGATTTTAAAATCTCAGTCATTCTATTGGGACAAAATGTTCCTAAACTTTTCCAAACAGTGTTATAATGCTAGAAAAATATTGTCTCACTTGTGATTGCTTAAGTTTCAGATGAGAACAAATGAGATTTTATGATACTAATTTCAGATTTAATAAATTATACTATTGGAATTGGAGTCAGGAAAGGAAAATTGATACTTATAATGTTATGTAACAGAAAATAAATTTTCTGTGACTTATTACCTAACTATATCGACAATATTTTAGAAACAGACCTACCAGTTAATAATTGCAACTTTGTTCATTTCAGTTGCGTTTACTTGTTTTTAGTTTATCAGCCATGAGACAAATAGCGATCTTAAAGTGTCAAGTTAGATTGTTGAAGCAGTTGAGCAATGACAGGTGACATCTGTAGCTTTATGTTGTACACAGCACCATCTATTGGAGAGATCTATTAACAATCTTGAAACATTCTGGAGAAAAAGTAAAAATTGAACGTAAATCAAGATTGTGGTAAGAGTGCAAAAAAAAAAAAAAACACACAAAAAAACAAAACAAAAACTATTAGTTAAACCGTAACATAATATGAACTTGCTTTCCCATTGTTCCCTCGCTTCTCCTCTCCCAGAAAGTCTTCCCTAAACGCCAGACTGAGTTAGATCCACCCGGTCATACACAGCACCTGGCCTGCCTTCTGTAACAAGGAGTTTTGAACTTTGCTATCTTCCTTGGAGGACGGTAAAGTCCATGAGGGCAGGTCCGGCTCTGACGTGTGGACAGCCTTTATGCTCAATGCAGGTAACAGCTCCTGGCACAGTGTGGTCGCTTCATCGTACTTTGTTGAATGAGTGGAGAAATTATTTGTCTCCAGGCCTATGCCCCCACTTTTGGTGATAGTAGTTCTGAGACCCAGACCCAAGGAAAAAGCAACCACTTAAAGGAAGGGGTGTCACAACCAAATGTGGGGAGAGGAGATCTAGGAGACAGAGGAAGGGCATGATTCGTTTTCTAATTTTAAGGTATATGATTGTCAGAAATTATATGGATTGCTAAAACTGGAGAGGGAAACAAGCGAGTATATCATTTTTTCACACATTCTGCATTGTTAGCACTTCATGCATGTGCACATATGAATAACAAAGAAGGCTCCACCTTGGGTAAAGATGCAAAATAATGCTGATCCACACAGACGTGAAGCAGACACCAGAATTGAATAAGAATATGAGTTACATACTGAAAGTGCGGTATGAGACCCCTCTGTACTATCCTTGCAACGTTCCATGGTTCTCTAATTATTTTAACAGTTGAAAACTATTGAAAAGGTCCCCATCATCTTTACTTTGAGGAAGAAGGGTCAAATTACATCTTGAGTTATTGTTTTTTTCCTCCTGTAACATCTTTGGTGGGCTTGTACAAAAGTTGCATTATTCAGATGGAGCTGAATTTTAATTCCAAAGAAATGTGTGTAATTTTTTAAAATATTTTATTGAATTTATTACAAGTTCCATATATTCTGTAGCTTGAATTGACTATTATAGATTTATCTTTTATTTCCTTCATTTCCCTCAATTTCTCTGATATTTAGTTTTCTGTAATTGGTGAAATATTTTCTTAAAAATGAAGCGAAAATGATAGAAATTCAGATGCATGCACTGTAGACAAGCAAAACTAATTAGCGTGCCCTTTCTCATTCTAACCTTCTAAATTTCATTTTTTCCCCCTGCCCTTCAGTATCAGATATTCCATTCTTAGAGGAGCAAACTGAGTAGAGCATACACCTAATCTGAAATTATCGAGACATTTAGTCACGTGTATGTAAAAGTAAGGCAAAACTGATCAGATGATAATTCAAAAACTTTAAGACTAACTCATTTAGTGGGGGGGAGGGGGAGGAGAATGAAAACTTTGCTAGTAACAGATTAAAAAGAGGAAGGAGGATCCTTTCATATTCTACGGCATTATGAATCACCCTAAAAGGTAGAAGCTCTGAATATTTATATCCCTTTATCTTTTATTTCTATAGCTTTGAGGTGGTTTATTATATCTTTTTTTTTAAAAAACACTTAAAAGTAATGGGTATTATTGTCCTATAAGCTCCTCTTCTCATATTGAACCATCCTTAAGTTTTTTATAGGATCTTGTCATGTTTTGAAGCTTCGAGTTCTGAATTTGCAAGGAGAGGTGCAGGGTGAGAGTCTACAAGACTTTGCTTCCCAAATGTATCAGTCAAGTCATAGTCACCGGGGTTGAATGTTAAAAGCAGATTTTTGGGTTTCACCTCTGGCCAACCAAGGCACAGCCTCCACCAGAAAAGCCTAGGAATCTGTGCTTTTAATATGTAACTCAGGTATTGCTTATGATCTGGCCATTGGGGGTGCACTGCACTCAAAGCTGGCTTCTCTGTGGGTGTGAATGTGATGCAGGCATCACAATTGTGCTGCAGATAATTGTGTTGGATCTATATCTGCATGTAATGGGTGGGAGCAAATCAGAGATTCTTGGTAATTCCTACTTTTGGCCTAAGTAATAGAGCATTTAAAAATCTGAGTGGAAAGAACATTGATGTTCCATTTTCACATGATCAGACTATATTACTCTTTGCCTGTTGCCGGGAAATCTGACTTTTCTGATAATAGGAGTCCCCCTTTACCCATGGTTTCGCTTTGAACAGTTTCAGCTACCTATGGTCAACTGCAATCCTAAAATATTAAATGGGAAATTCCAGAAGTAAACAGTTAATAAGTTTTAAATTGCATGCCATTCTGTGCAGTGTGATGAAATCTGATCCTGTCCCACCATGGACGTGAATCATCCCTTTGTCCAGAGCATCCAAGCTGTCCACCTAGTCACTTAGAAGCCATCTTGGTTATCAGATTGGTTATCAGAGAGAGAGAGAGAGAGACCACATTCACATAAGTTTTATTACAGTATGTTGTTAATTGTTCTACTTTATTATTATTATTAATCTCTTATTGTGCCTGATTTATAAATTAAGCTTTATCATAGGTTTGTCTGAATAGGAAAAGCGTCTTTAAACATACCCCCCACAGATAGAGGGGGACTACAATATACCTTTTTATAGTGTATCTCAGAATTTTTAGAAGTTTTATATTCTCCATGTGGGTAAACATCCATTAAGTAAACTAACTTCTGAGTTACAAACACATGGACATAGATTTTATTATGTTTTTGAAAAATAGGAAGACTAGAACCACTTTTTCCACATAATGATATTTTAATTTAAAAAAACTAAAATAATAATAACCAGTCTCCATTACGACATCTATTTTAGAGCAAGATTTAAAGAATTATTCCAGATGTTTGGTATGAAAAATGTGAGTCTTATTAATTCCCAATTGATTTCTCTGTTCCGTGGATATGAATTGAACACTTAACAATGTTCCAGGCCTCAATATGAAACATCATCCAATTTAATATAATTTAACTGAGTGTCAGAGCCTTTTCATTCCCTCTTGGCAACTGTTAGCCTGCTGGGTCTTTAACTATCTGATATCAAATTTTTAGCTAAGGTCATTTTATTATTGTATTTCACTTTCCTTTTTTTTAAAGCAATAAATAGAAAAAAAAATGTACTTGCATTGAATTTACTTTAAAACATTAATAGTCTGTTATTTGTATATATTGTTATAGTAATACTAGCATGATATAATTATTACTCATGTAATATTGCATGTGTATACATTCATTACAATATGTATTATAATTTTCCTCTTCTTTTTTTCCCCCTCCCTAATTTTTACATAAATTAATATGAATGTATACATTCACCTGTAAAGGTGTGATTATTCAATTTTTACATTTTTTGTGACTGTAAGATGCCTTGGAGAGAGAAGTACATATTACAACATATACGTCCACCTCATATACTGGCTCTTGAAAGAACATGCCTGAGGCTGGGTGGAGTGGACTGGTGTAAGGAGGTATATGTGGCAGGAAGGTGGCTAGGAGATGGTCTCAGTGTTCAGGCAAAACCATGAACATGAGGGTGACCGGGTAGAAAGCCATTTCCGAAACAGGAAGAACCAACTGGACTTAGACCTCTAGATATGAAGTACAGAGGGAAGTGAGTCAAAGCTATTAGACTAGAGGACTGAACAGACAGAAGCTCTTTCTGGGAGTTAGGACTGCAGGGGGAGGAGGAGGGTTGGAAGTAGACAGAAAAGAAAAAGATGTGTTCATGTGTGGCTGGTTGAGTTTGATGTGGGAGGACCATTGGTGGTGATGTTACTAGTCATTTCGGTAATTTAAAAATATTTTCAAGAGGTTTTCAAATAGAATTCTAGAGCCTTTCAGACATACTTACATCCTTAATCATTTTCTTATGGGGCTTTATTTTTTCTGACTCATTCTTACTTTTGGCAACTTGAGGGGAAGATTATGTGTAAATAATCACAGAGTCGACTGTCCCTTTTTGAAGAGTAGAGGTTTGCCTATATATGGTAAAATGTCTATTTTTGAAGATCTTGTTCTTCAGTAGAAATACTTTTCAAGTACTATATGTGAATATTTTTATAATAGTTTTGCAAAGCTTCTTATAATTTTAGGATAACTGTTGTTTTCTCTTTATCATTAAAAAAACACCCTATAAATAGATTACTAAATATAAGTAATATTAACTATCAAAACTGCACATCAGTTTGCTTCAAGGAATTGTGGAAGCAGGCTTACTCTCATGGCTTTCTTCATTCATTTGTCTTTTCAGAACTTGATAGTCCGGAAGAGTTAGGGAAAAAGCGAATCTGCAGGATTATCACAAAGGACTTCCCTCAGTATTTTGCAGTAGTTTCACGGATTAAGCAGGAAAGCAACCAGATTGGTCCTGAAGGTGGAATTCTGAGCAGCACCACGGTGCCCCTGGTCCAGGCTTCTTTCCCTGAGGGCGCTTTGACCAAAAGAATCCGAGTGGGCCTCCAGGTAACATTCAACAAAGTTCTCCTCCTGGGAACATGTAGAGGGCGGAGAGCATATGCCATTCTGGGAACCACTGTCGCAACTCTCATTGTATTCCCTCTCATGTTACTGATGAAAGCATGAGGCCATTTGGGAGAATCATTAACCCACTTCAAATGAAAAGCATTAATTAAAAATTAGCTTAGTAGCTTATGAAATAAGATACATATGTTAAGGTTTTTCCGTATAAAAGTATCACCTGGTTTCTGATGAGAGATCGCTTTTTTAAACCATAAGTTATTGGTCTCAGTATGTGGAGCCACAGAAGCACCAAAGGGGCACATGTACCATTAAAGAAACAACCTGTATTTGACTTGGTTTATGACATGCCACATCATAAAAATCAGCAGTAGTGAAAACTTGCAAGCTTTCAAATTTTGGTTTAAGTAAAATCCTAAATGCTGGGCTTTATCCAAACCAGATGGAACTTTGGGCTTTTAGAAAGCTGACTGGAAAGCTTGGCAATGGTGGTCTTTATACATTTCGGTTAGACCAAACCAGTACTTAACCAGGTTTTTTTTTCTTACTAAGAAAAATAGCCTGAAATAACTTGTGTTGTTAATTAATAGAGTATTTAAAATATTTAACGGACAGTTGCCTCTCATGCCCAAGGAGTTGGGTTTTTAGAGCTGAGCACTCTAAGTCTGGGGAAGGCCTTCCTTAAATACCTAGCTAAAGAGACCACCTTACATTCCGCTGGCAGGAAGGGCCCTTCAGCTCTCTCCCATATAGATATTCAGTAGCAGAGATCAAAAGGAAGAACTTCAGTTTGTAAGCCTAAATTTGAAATCCTTTGAAATCATGAATTTTTTTCTTTTTGATTACAATTCTGAAAATCCTCCATTTTTTTTACATTGGTGCAAGTTACCTTTGTATTGTTTAACTAAATGCCCTGCATAGGTTTTAAATATATTGGACACAGTATTTGTTGTTCGTTAGTTTAGATCAGACTAGGATGCTTCTCTGCTGAGAGACTGGATTCCCTCTTGATCACACAAGCCTACGCTGCCTGTTACACTGGGGAAACATTCAGGCTGACTGGTTCCTGCTACAGTGTTGGATTATTTTGGATTTGTTTTGTTTGTGGTTGTTTGACACCTTCTTGAAATAATGCGAATGGATGAAGAAAAAAGACATTTATTTGTTGTGTATTTTTTATTATTTCCTCCTTACTTAAAAAGTCAACTTAAAAAAAAAAAGTCAACTTTCCAATGAGATTTTTTAAAATGGCCACCTTCACTTAAGATTCTTTTTCTGACTCTAGGCTCAGCCAGTTCCAGATGAAATTGTGAAAAAGATCCTTGGAAACAAAGCAACATTTAGCCCAATTGTCACTGTGGAACCAAGGAGGAGGAAATTCCATAAACCGATCACAATGACCATTCCGGTGCCCCCGCCCTCGGGAGAAGGCGTGTCCAATGGGTACAAGGGGGACGCCACACCCAATCTGCGCCTTCTCTGCAGCATCACAGGTTTGGTCATGTTGCTGTACTTGCTGTTGATGCTAGCATTTGCAGTGATTCTGTAAGAAAACATCAAGTCTTTGAAATACCCATGTCAACATTATAAGAAGGAGAAAAAATATTTTTTTTTACATGTCCATCACCTCATTTCTGTTATCCTTCTAATAATTTCTTTAAAATGATAACATTTAAAAATTAATGAACAATTTTCCTACTATTCAATTTAATAACAGCGCCCTCTTAAGGTGATTGAAATATTATTGCATCTGCTGGGGCATCTCAGTGATCTCTTGGTGACCTAGACAGAGGTGGTGGACTTAGTGACACCCTTTTGACAATAGGAAATTGAAGGACTTCGGGAGTACATGTTTTATGAGACGCACCTGAAATCCCGAGCTCAATTCCTCAAACCTAATGTGATTTTTTTAAAATATATATTTTATTGATTCTTTCCAGAGAGGAAGAGAGAGGGATAGAGAGCTAGAAGCATCGATGAGAGAGGAACATTGACCAGCTGCCTCTTGCACACCCCCTACTGGGGATGTGCCCGCAACCAATGTACATGCCCTTGACCGGAATTGAACCTGGGACCTTTCAGTCTGCAGACCAACTCTCTATCCACTGAGCCAAACCGGTACTGGCCAACCTAATGTGATTTTTAACTGAAAATCCCAAGATTAAGATAGACTGGGTCTTTTGTTTTTATTTTTAAGATTAATATTGATGGCTGATTCACCCTTTGTTCCTGGTAAATTAAATGATTCAGCTAGTACAAATAAGTTGCTTCTTAATTTTCTTGATGTTTACTGCCCTTTTAAACATTTAAAAAAAAAATAGATTGTCTATCTGAAACAATACATCTTGGCACTTACAAAGTACACTTGCAAAATCCATTTATAGATTGGTTACCCCAATTTCAAGCCATTCGTTAATACCCGGACAAACCGAAAAGTAATTTTTTTTTAAAAATCGGACAGTATCTTACAAGGAGGTCACAATAAGCCTGCAAATGTATAAAAGGAGAGTCAAGAGGAAAACCACCTTTAGTAAATGTCATTAATTGACAGTGTTGATGTTTTGCAAGCTTCTGGCAAACCGGGAAGAACAGGATAATGATGCAAATGTTACAAGAAGCATGTCTCTTAATAAAGTCACCATATCTGCTGCTGTTCTCTTAGGGGGCACCTCACCGGCTCAGTGGGAAGACATCACAGGAACTACTCCTTTGACATTTATAAAGGATTGTGTCTCTTTTACAACCAATGTTTCAGCCAGGTATGGAACTAAAGGATTCCAAAAAGCAATGAGGAATTAGTTTTATTAGCTTTTGGAAAGTAAAGATCGTTGTGCTCAATGCAAGTATGGTTATGGTTATTTTTTACAGATTTAATAGTGAAGTTGGATCTAAATTAGAAATGTAAAATTCACTGTGATAAGCCCAGTCTTTGTAGGAAGCTATAAGGTGTTAGGCTGGATTCTTCTAGTAAAATTTCTTAGCAACTTTAATTTGTAAATACTGATAGGAACGTTCTCTCATAAAATTCATGCTCCTTCTAATTGTAAAGTTATAGATTAAAAATTCTGAAAACAGGAGTAGAAAGGAAGTTTTCCCATGTATGGGTATGGATTAGAGGGAAACAAGGATTTTATGGGAAAGAAAGAATCTTACCATTTTCTCTGTTTGATGAGCAACAAACATCCTGCAGTTTGTTTAGATGAACAAGTCAATGTTTTAATTTAGGTCCCTTTATATTCTGACTTTTTTAATGGTGAATTTTTTAAGATTTGGCATTTAAGTCACTTCATTTCCATACTTACATTTTGTTTTGTTTTGTTTGGGCTTTGTTTTTTATCAGATTTTGGCTTGCAGACTGCCATCAAGTTTTAGAAACTGTGGGGTTAGCCACACAACTGTACAGAGAATTAATATGTGTTCCATATATGGCCAAGTTTGTTGTTTTTGCCAAAATGAACGATCCTGTAGAATCCTCCCTGCGGTGTTTCTGCATGACAGATGACAAAGTGGACAAAACTTTAGAGCAGCAAGAGAATTTTGAGGAGGTTGCAAGAAGCAAAGATATTGAGGTACCTTGTTCAGAACAAGTTCATGCAATTATTTCCCCCAGATACGAAGTTTTATTTTGAGACCATAATAGTGCTCACTATAAATATCAAGTATGTTATTTTAGTTTTTATTGTAAAAATACAATATAGATTCATGCTCAAATTGTTTTAAATGTTGTTGAGGTTGTCTCAGTGTTTAAAATATAATTCTAATGGATCTGAGTCATAGTTTCCTTTTTCCTGTAGCTACTCAAATTATCTTATTTTTATGGTTACTGTCTATACACATTACCATGATTTTGCTTTTTCAAACCCAGACATCAGATAAGATTAAAAAAAAAAAGAAGAAAGAAAGAAACAATTTTTCAAAGTCTATCTGAACAAGTGATTGATGTCAGGTACTTTCTCAAACATGTTTCAAGTTGCTAGGGTAGAAATATATGATTTTTATCTTATATAAAATCCATAATGCGGTTTCCAGTCACAGTTATTAAATTGTGAGCCAAAATAGTTATTTCTGTGGCAAATACGACTATAGAAGTAATTTCCTAATGAGACAAATGTGACATAGAAACATGTCATTCAGTTAATGTCAATGTGACTTAGTCTCAAAATTCTTTTAATTAAAGTTAATATTAAATTATGTATTTCTTTTACTCTAAAAGGTTCTGGAAGGAAAACCTATTTATGTTGATTGTTATGGAAATCTGGCTCCACTGACCAAAGGAGGACAGCAACTTGTTTTTAACTTTTATGCTTTCAAAGAAAATAGACTGCCATTTTCCATCAAGGTAAGTTCTCATCAGCAGCGATTCTGTGACTGTCCTAGTCACACGTATTGCGTTTGAAATATCTCACCAAATTTGAAGTCATAGGAACAAGGTCATATTTTTGTCTCAGTCCTACCCGAGTGTACTTTTCAGGTAGGAAAACTTTGTAAAATTTCTTTAAAAAGTCCTTACCTTTTCAACAGCTAAATAATCATTTCTGTTCAAGCAAATGTTTGTGAGACCAAACCCTCTAGTATAAAAAAATGCCTCATAGCTGGTTATTGCTCAGTAATCAAATAATAGATGAAAGTTAAATTCAGAACTCAAGCTTCACCTTCATCATTTCTGATGGAGCCCATGGACCTTCTTGGAAAAGTGTGTCTTTCTCCTCAGAGAGCAGAAGGACATAGGACAATGATTTTACTGTCATTATTATTTGCTGTTATCTGTGTTGCTGAGACTGAAGATTTGAGAGAAAGAAATTATGAGACAGGAAGAAAATGCATGGAACCCAGACACAAGTCCTGTGTTTAGACTAGGAATGGGACATCCTAAATCTCGCTGAGTTTAAATGTGACCACCTCAGAGGCCATGTAATTGTTATCATCCTCTTTTCCCTCTATTTTCCTGCCTCTTGAAGGTCTCCATAAAACAAACATGCTTGACTCTTATAAAGACAGGATTCCTTAGAAAAGTCTACTTCTATAACCGTCAGCTACATAAATTCTTAAATTCTTCTAGATTAGAGACACCAGCCAAGAGCCCTGTGGTCGTCTGTCTTTTCTGAAAGAACCAAAGACAACAAAAGGACTGCCTCAAACAGCTGTCTGCAACTTAAATATCACTCTGCCAGCACATAAAAAGGTATATTTTGGTATCGGTTTATTTTAACTTTCTTTTCCTTGGTTTTGAAGAAGTGGGCCATTGGTGTGCAATTAAGGAATGCTATGTAACATGATCAAAGCTCTTGAAACTCATGTTCTATTGGTCTCTGTGTAGACTATGTCTCGTTACTGTGGTGTCAGAGTCTAATGGTTTGTATGATGGAGTCCTGTTTATTGCCTCTGCTTCTGCTGGTAGTTCATAGATTTTTTTTTTTTTTTTATGATTTCAAAGGACATCGCACATTAATTTGCCATGGATGTACTGTTCTTGATACATTTTGGTGGCTTCTTTTGATTTGCTTTGCCTTCTAAATCAGCTTGCATTTTGTGCTCCTACTTAGTCCTTTTCATATCCTGATATTCTTTTCTGCTGTCCATTATAATATTCCTTGTCTCTGCAATGCATCTTGGAACGAAAAGGAGACAGAGTCAGATCAAGATGATGAGGTAATATGAACATTTTTGCTTTTACTCTACCAGAGATAGAATAGGAATTGAATCTATATAAAAGAAATTGCAACAGAAATTGCAAAAGAAATTAAAGTATGGAAAACATATTATAACATATTATATTTTTTTAGCTTAAATGAGTAAAGGATATACATTTTTCTTAAAGAATAGTTCATTCTTTATCCACATATGCATAAGAATATTCAGTAAAATCATAATATTCAGTAAAATCATATTAATAAAAATTTAAAAAGTTGAACTCAAGTCCTTTAAACATTTTAAAATGCAATTGGCATGTATCAAAATATACGTTTTCACCTAGTATCAACTGTGTTATAACTTTTAAGATTGTGGGTAATATATGAAATTTTATTATACAAATCAACTTGTGTTTTACATAATATAAAATATGTGCTCAATGGCTATTGATAAATATTTTATATTCTACTTAAGGAAATATATCTTGGCCATTTTTTAAGGACATAATTATTCAATTAAGCTTTGAATGAATTTTTTCTTATAAGTTATCTCCTAATATTTCTCCAAGTTAGATGATATTGGATTTTTAAAACTCACACCTTCATAATAATAGAATCAGCAGCCTTAAGACTCAATAACGTTATTCTTAATGAAACTATTAACCTGTTTTTAATTTTCTCATCTATACTTGCCTATTAACACACAGAAACAATAGCAGTAATCAGAATAATAACCTTTGTGTGCCTTTTTTCCTGGAATGTACTCACATTGTGATATATGTGCTTTGAGGCCAAATTAATTGGGGGAAATTTCCTGTTCAGCATCAGAAGTCTCTGTAACTCTCGTCTTTTATCTGTAGTTCCCTGTAGTCTGCTGTGTTGGTGCTCATATATTTGCTAAATGATGGCTATTTGTTTGAGACATTGAGGTGGGGTTTTAGAATCACATTTTAATGAGGAAATTCCATACGATGAAAAAATAAGGATAAATACGATATTAACATAACATCCTACAAAATGTTCCTAAACTATGAAATGCCACAAAAATGCTAGACACGGTCTTTGTTTTTTTTCCTTTTCAGGCCGAGAAAGCAGATAAACGACAGAGCTTTGCATCTTTAGCTTTACGTAAGCGCTACAGCTACTTGACTGAGCCTGGAATGAGTGAGTTTTCTAACACATTTACTAATCTATGCAGGTTTTTATAAGAAGAGACATTTTTTTCTATACAGTCAGAATTCTGGGATCATTTGAAAACCCAATAGCAAAAGAAAAACTGTCTGCAAGAAAACCTTACAGTGAAAATCTGAGTAACACCATGAAATCTAAGGAATATATTGTACATAGTTGAAGATATGAGGCACAAACACCCCTACGTCCTAGCTTCAAAACAGGTTTTTAAAAGCCATTAACCACTTTTATTACTTAAAATCACCTATCTTAAAAAACCATGGTTTCACTTTGATTGTTAACTATGCTGGGAGATTATGTTGAAGCGATGCTGCTTTAAATCTATGCTCAAAAGAGAAAATGTTTATTTTTATGTATGTGGGATGGTAGAAAAATATGAAAAAGTAACTTTAGTTGTCATCTCATTTTTCTTTATCTACAAAGGTCAGTATGTCTTAGGCTTGCCTCTTTTTCTGCCCACTTTGAAAGAGGGGTATTTTCCTACCTTCTTGAGGTAGCACGTGTTGACTGACTTCTTTTTCCCTCCTTCTCTGTCTTTCTCCCTGCCATTTATTAAATATGTTCTAAAGGCTGGTTCGACTCATCTCTCAGTGATGGTTTTGGTTCATTAACTGGTTTTAAAGTATTGAGGTATAGATTCATTCAATCATATTCATTTTCTTCCTCTCTCTCCTCCTCCCCTCTTCTCATCCACATGATTATCACCTCTGTTGATCACTGCAGCCCTTAATATAACTGCTCCACCAATAGGAACTAAGGGTGTGAGAACTGCACTGTGTTTGATTGATGTAGTGGTGCCACTTTAGAGAAAGATTTGTACAAAAAAAGTTATTTCCAAATTAGTGAATGATTTCTAGCTGTTTCCTATTACTCTCATGGCTCGAGTTTAGGGAGGATTGAAAATTTGTCAGTGAGAGCCCCGACTTCAGTTTTTCCCAACTTCTCTGAAATTAACTACCATGGTGCTACAATGCAGGGAAGGTGTGTGTGTATGTAACTAGATGATTTTTCCCCCCAGAAACTCGATCTCCTGGGGGGATGACTTTGTTGGAATACTGTTTTACCTCCCGCTGCCCTAGCTAAGACTCTCACTGTGTAGCTGGTTAGGACTCCTGGGCCATATCCTTAAGCTCCATGGACCAGCTACTTTAGGACAGAAATACTCTGACCAGCTCACATCTGATTCTGGTCCCTAAGGTATTGGTTGTGGGAAATAGGAGTTATAAGGTCAGGTACATGCTAAGTCAGTTGAATTTTTCCAACTTATGAAAGTGTTGCTACTCTTTGGTTAGTGTCAATTAAGGTGTATGTAGGTTATCTCTGAGTTTTGATAGAAGAACAAGGATATTTTTTCTTTTATGAAAGAGAGCAGAATGGCGGTAAGCAGAGAATTGAATTGGAAGGAGCTAAGGAAACTTAAGGAAAAGTCATGGCCCTGAATTGGTACAACTCCAAGTGAATGCAGATTTTTCTCTCACTACCTGTCCTTTCTAACTACCTGACATCCAGAAATTGCCTTTGTTATAAAAGGAACCACGAAATATGTGTCATTTAAACACAACATGTAACTGAACAGTCAGTTGGCTGCTTGTGTGAGGTATAGAACCATAGAGGTTGTTCACAAGACTTCTTTGCTTGATGAGCCAGCCTTCAGTAGTAAAGGAGAGATGCTTTTCCAGTTTTTGGTAGTTACAAAGAAAAATTCTCTTGAGCCATGACATTGGACTGAGCCAAAATTTACTGAATTGAATGAATCCCCAAACCTTTCATTTGTAGTGTGGTATTTCTAACAGAGTTAAGTGATATAATATTGAGAATTATGGCTAGGAGAAGTAATGAATGCATGAGTTTTTCCTTAGTCCTTCCACTTTTCCTTAGAATAATACTCCAGTCTAGAAAAGGGTATGTTCTGAATGTTTGAATTTCAATGTACACTAGGAATGAAAATCTTCACCCTTGTGGGAGTGGCTGCTAATCAAAGGACTGGATTGTAGCAATGGTATGAGCACAGCCTGAAGAAGAGCATAAAGACGAAGCAGATTCTCATTTCCTCTTTGCAGTTCACTCTTGTTCTGAACCAGTGCAGTCACTCTGACATACACATTACCCTTGGCAGGCATTCCAAACCTCTGTGACCAGCTCCGTTTGTTTGTTAGGAATTACAGAAGTAGAGACGACTAAGTGTGTGTTTGCTCTCCCCTGGCGAGTGTGCTTACCTCATTTGTGTGTTTCTTGTCCCACTGCCACTGGTAGTAAATCCATCTTTGCTAGTGGTAGGTCTGCCTCGTGGCTGCTCCAGTGTTTGGGGTATCCATGAGTGCCATGAATATTCTGGGAAGACACCAGAATTGGGACCTTTGACATATATATACAAAAAAAAAACTGTATCCCACTGTAGATAAGTTAAATATGGGGTATTAAAAATATGAATGTGCTTTTTTAGATTTCCCCCATGATACCTTTTGAGAATTAAAAGTATGATAGATTATGAAAAAACATGAGATAAAATGTGTGCTTTTATCCATAATGATGACAACACCAAACATAGATATTTTTATAGTTGCAGATGTATTTTTATTTACTATGCAGTATTAAATATTTTCCAAAAATCTCAAAAGGTACTAAGACTTCACATCTCATGGAAAAAGTGTACTCTTCTTTCTCAATGCTCTTGTGAAAGTATTTTTAAAGTTTATATATTGTGCATACTATGGCATAAAAATTGTATTACATCATTGGCTTGTTTGCCATGATATATTGTGCATGATAAAATGCTTTGTTGCTTTGCTTGCTTATGGTAACCATGAATCATATTTTCAGTTTTTTTTCCTCCCTTTATGTGTGTGTGTGTACACATGCATTTTTAAATCATTTCATATCACTTTTTTTTCCTCACCAAAAGGAATATACTGCATGGAAAAGATAAATGCAAACATTCCTTTTCTTTTTTTTTTTTTTTTGTTTGTTTTCTTTTAAAATTCTGACTCAGAGAATTTCTTGCTCTTATTGGCTTTTTATGGGTGTAAAGCATAACCGAATTGTGCATGGAAGATGCAGATTTAAAATCCAGTGGCTTCACAGTTTGCACATCAGTTGCCTGTCACTTAAAAGTTATTTTGGATTCTGCATGAAATAGGCTTGAGTGGTTTTCTAAAAAAGACTTTTAGATGTTTAACATATAGCTACACACATTGATATGGTTCAAGGTGAGGAAACATTAGAAATTACTAAAATGAGAGTTTTATGGTTGCACAAAACAAACATTAACCTATACAGGCAAAACAGAATGGCTACTGATATTTCAAAACCAGCACATAAGAAAGTCAATAGGAAGTAAGGGAACAGTTTTCCATTGTGGTTATTTTTCATCATTAATTCTTTCCTCGTGTTTTCTAATTTTCATTGTTAGCCTTTTTGGTTGCGACATGCTTTTTCTGTCTTTCATTTCACATTGCTCTGTTTTTTTTATTTATTTAGTGTCTTGTGTGTTTTTTACTTTGGATTAGTTATGTCTGTAGAAAAGTTTTTCCCTCTTTTGCGTAATTGTTCCTTTTGGCCTCTTCCATCCTAAATCATGCAAACAATTGTTACTTGCTTTTGTAATATTTCAAAGTTTACTGACCAATTTTTTTCTCTGGTCTCTCTGTTTCTCAACCATTTTTGTTGATTTTTGTGTTTGGTTTCATTTTTAAAATTTAAGAAACAGTTGAACGGAGTGCAGGAGCAACAAGATCCCTCCCCACTTCTTACTCATACAAGCCATTCTTTTCTACAAGACCATACCAGTCCTGGACCACAGCTCCGACCCCAGTGCCCGGGCCAGCCAAGTCAGGCTTCACTTCCTTATCCAGTTCTTCCTCTAACACGCCATCAGCTTCTCCGCTAAAATCCGTGTGGTCCGTTTCGACTCCTTCTCCAATCAAATCCACGTTAGGCGCGTCAACTACTTCCTCCGTTAAATCCATTAGCGATGTGGCATCTCCGATTAGATCCTTTCGGACAATGTCCTCACCGATAAAAACAGTGGTGTCGCAGTCTCCATACAGTGTCCAAGTGTCTTCGGGCATCCTGATTAGAGCTCCCACAGTCACGGAGGCCTCGCCTTTAAAAGGCCTGGCGTCCAGCCCTATGTTTTCCCCTCGAGCCTCTCCCGTGACCACAGCGGGGTCTCTCTTGGAGAGGTCATCCATTACGATGACACCCCCCGCCTCCCCCAAGTCAAACATTAACATGTATTCCTCAAGTCTGCCGTTTAAGTCGATCATCACCTCGGCAGCGCCGCTCCTATCTTCACCGTTAAAGTCAGTGATGTCTCCGGCCAAATCGGCAGTGGATATCCTTTCATCGGCGAAAGCTGCGATGGCCTCTTCTCTCTCATCGCCCGTGAAGCAGGTGCCTGGACACGCAGAGGTAGCGTTGGTCAATGGGTCCGTTTCCCCTCTGAAGTACCCCTCGTCTTCGACTTTGATTAATGGATGCAAAGCCTCTGCCACGTTACAGGAGAAAATCTCTACCGCCACAAACTCCGTGAGCGCTGCGGCCAATGCCGCCGCCGCGGACGCAGTGGAGAGAGTGTTTCCTACGACGGCGATGCCCTTTTCCCCACTCAGGTCATACATGTCCTCGGCCCCATCAGCTTTGCAGTCGCTCCGAACTCCTTCCGCAAGTGCACTCTACTCATCCCTTGGGCCGTCAATCTCGGCAACTACCTCATCTGTGACTTCGTCGGTGATAACCGTGCCGGTGTACTCCGTGGTCAATGTGCTGCCAGAACCAGCCTTAAAGAAGCTCCCTGACTCGAACTCGCTTGCAAAGTCGGCAGCGGCCCTGCTGTCCCCCGTTAAGACACTGGCCGCGGAGACACGTCCCCAGCCCCATTTCAATCGAACTGCATCCCCCGTCAAGTCATCCTTGTTCCTCGCACCCTCTGCCCTTAAGTTGTCCGCACCATCTTCGTCTTTGTCGTCCAGCCA